GGGCAGAAGCCTTCTTAACCCTACAGCTCTTGCATTCTGCATCCACCTAAATCCAGTGCCACATGGATGATGCCAAGTTCTGCTGCCAGCTGGTGCAGTAACCAGGCTTTCTTTTCTTTTGGCTGTAGGGGTCGAGTGCCTGGATCACTGGGCACTCTGAATCCAATTCTGGGGAACAAAATTTCTATGCTGCCGCCATTCTGGAACATGGTATTCTGCAGCTTTCTCCTCAAAGTAAAGTCTCATCTTTGCAGTTTTAAGGCTGAAAAGGGTGGAGACTTGCTGTTTCTTGTGAGGATACAAAGGATTGAAACCAAAGCAAGTCCAAAATCCAGCTGGACAAACATTAAGTTTGTCCTGCTCAGGTCATTTTTTATATTCACCTGTTCCTTCATAGCAATCAAGATCCACCCTGCTCTACCTTTGCAGTCCACAGCTTTACTGGAACTTCCATTCTGGCCAAACTCATAACATTTTAAATAATCCTGCTGGGCTCTTTGCTCCTGATCCTCAACATACATCTGGCTAAAAACTCCCAACAATAGCTATGCCATTGCCTTAACATTTGACTGCCTTGAAATTTCCTCTGTCACTTTCATTAGTTCGTCACCCTTAATCTCAGTCTCAGGCAAAATCTCTGATATGAGCAAAATGCACACAAACTTCCTGCTAAGCCACACATCATCTGGAGTCCAGCAGACAAAGCAGTTCTTTTTCCCAGCAGAAACCTCCTGAGCCTGGTATTTACTGATTTGCTGATCTTCTGAGCTCTAACCAGGATCTCCCACACAGAGCAGCTAAGGCATTCCAGCACTACTCTTTCAGGCAACATCTCCAAACCCTTCCAAACTCTTCCCACAAGCCATTCCCAAAGGCTCTTGAACCACAGGTATAATAACAGCAATGACCCCACTTCTCTAGTACTAAATTCTGTATTGCCTACTTTTGCTCTTGTTGCTTTTGCTGTCTTCTGCTGCCTTGAAGTGTTGCCCCTGTGCCATGCCACCCTGCCTTGGAGCCAGCTGCTTATGAACTAAAACCGCCACAAACTGTGAGATAAATGGACCTTTACTTCCTTAATTTTGGGCATTAAGTATTTTATCTCAACAATGAGAGAAAAGTAACTAAGACATATAGTCTTTATCTCAGTCTGATAAAAGCCATCTATAACTAACCAACAGCCAACATAATACTAAATGGAAAAAATTAAAAGCTTTCACTTTAAAATCAGGAACAAGACAAAGATGATCACTCTTATTCCATATAGTTCTGGAAACATTAACCACAGCAATTAGACAAGAGAAAGAAATAAGTTATAAGGATAGAAAAGGAATAAGTTAAACATAGAAGACCCCAAAAAAATCCACCAAAAGACTTCTAAATTTAAGAACCAAATTCAGTCACTGGATACAAAGTCAGTACTCAAAAGTCAATAGTATTCCTGTACACAAACAACAAACTCACTGAGGAAGAAATTAGGGGAACTAACCAACAGCCAACATAATAGCATCCAAAAAAAAGGAGAGAAATACCTAGGAATCAGTCTAATGAAGAAAGTAAAAGACATTTACATTGAAAACTATAGTACTCTGAAAAAGGAGATCAAAGAGGATATCAGTAAATGAAAAGATATCCCTTGTTCTTGGGTAGGAAAAACCAATATAGTGAAAATGGCCATACTTCAAAAGTTGTTATACAGATTTAATGCAATCCTAATCAAAATACCAATAGCATGCCAAGTATGGTGGCATATACCTGGAATACCAGCACTTGGGAGGCTGAGGGAGGAGGATCAATGCAAGTTTGAGGCCAGTTACATAGTGAGCTACATAGTGAGACCCTGTCTCAAAATAAAATTACTAATAGAATTAGAATTCACAGAATTAGAGAAAATAATCCTAAAATTCATTTGGAACCAGAAGAGACCTAGAATAGCAAAAGCAATTCTAAGCAACAAAGGCAAGGCAGGGGGCATCACAATCCCTGACTTGAAATTATACTACCAAGCTACTGTGATAAAAAA